ATCGGGACAAAAGCCGCTCTTTCCCGCCTGTGGCTCAGGGGTCATGGGAGGTGGGCTGAACTTGAAGAGGGGAGTCTGAGCGAGAGAGAAAGAGAGGGAGAGAGAGACGGGGGGTCAGCAACAGCCACGCTGGACACCTCGGAAGCGATTATGCCAGATTACAGCCACGATCGGATTGGGTGTATTTAAGACGGCCTGAACAGAACATATGAACGTGTACAAACCTAATTATTGTCAACGTGTCCAAAGAAAATCTCCATTTTTGTCAGTTTTTATTTTTCTTCATCATTTGAACATGGCTTTTACATTGTGTGAACACTTCATGATGAATGGACCAATAGAAATGCTCCAAAATTAGCTGGAATAAAATCTCTTTTCATTAACTTGACTGAAAGTAAAGAACGTTTTTGCCTTCTCCTGTAAACTCACCATTTTGGAGAGACATGGTTTCCATGGGCAGCATCAATATACAGTGTAGATCGACCTTGATGTTGCTTCGTCAGTCATTTTTGAACCTTCTCCAGCTCTGTTCATCATTCTGGACTCATTTAACATTTCTACATTTTTAAATGCAAATCAGCTCATGGACCTGGCTCATAACTCACTCAGTCACTCACTCACTCACTCATGTTTTGTCCACAAGGGGGAGCTACTGGCACTCTACACTGTTGAAAATAGAGGTTCTGTGCTGGTACATTTTTAGCAACAGTGGTTTTAAGGTCTGATTGTGAACCTTAAATAAGTTTTTACAGGTGAAAAGTTCGTATTTGTACCTTTTCATAACCGAATGTTTTAAAACAGAACAGTAAAATAAAAGCCTGGAGACGAGACGGGGTGTGTGGAGTCAGTACAGCTTAGAACATATCATTTCAGTGGATTATGGTTCAGTTATGTTCCCTGACTAAAGGTACTGAGATGGACCCTTGAGGGTTCCACCCCAGTGACAGGAGGGGAACTGCCCCAGAGACAGTTTAGTGCCTTTATTTCTGAGAGTGTAGTAACTAAAGTGACAACAACCTTGCGTTAGCTCCAATGGCTGAATCTACTGAGCACTGTGGACACAACAGAAATGTGTGCTCTCTAGGACTTTGCACACAAATGATGCGATTTTCTGTTGAAGTGAAAACATGTGCTCTAAAGAGAAAAAACACACTTCTGCACAATTCAATACATAATTACTGTTTATTTGCTGAGTTTAACATTTTGGGGAACAAAATAAAACAAAGTTATGGCACATTTGATATTTAATGTTTTTTTTGTTGTTTAGAAAATAAACAGAAGCTATGCGCCAGGATTAGCCGAAAAAATGCTATATTTAAGTGTGTCTCTGTAGAGGATGTGTTAAGTTATTTACACTTAGAAAAGCAACAAAACATGTCATTTGACCAGGGGCGCATAAACCAGGAGCGTACGACTGTAAGTGCATGTATAACATTTGTAAATCTCTGAGATTCCCCATTAACTGTGCCATAAGCAGTGCTTCATAATGAATGATTAAAATGTCTGCATGAACATTATTACGACTGATTTTACAAATGGCCCTGTGATGGACTGCCGACTTGTCCAGGGTGTTTCCTGCCTTCCGCCCAATGACCGCTGGGATAGACTCCAGCTCCCCCTGTGACCCAGACGGATAAGCGGTTTAGATAATGTGTGTGTGTGTGTGTGTGTGTGTGTGTAGTACAGCTACAGCTCAGGCCAACCACTGAATGTCAGCCTCTTCAAACTTAAACTGATTGTGCAGCATTATTTGATTTTTTCCTGATGTAGATCAAAAGTTTGTAGACTCCTGCTTCTCCAGCGTTTCTTCTGAAATGAAAGGTATTATTAGGAATTTGTCCTGCTTTGCTGCAGTAACAGCCTCTACTCTTCTGGGAAGGCTTTACACTAGATGTTGTACATTGCTGTGAGGATTTGATTGAGCATTAGTGAGGTCAGGTACTGATGTTGGATGATCAGTTCTGGATCACTAGAACTCATCCCAAAAGTACTGGATGGAGCTCCATCTGCTCCACAGCCTAATGCTGAGGGGCTTTATAGCCCTCTAGCTCACACTTGGCATTGAGCATGGTGACCTTAGGCTCATGTGTAGCAGCTCCAGAGCTCCATTCTATTGGTAAATGCTCTTCTGTGAGGATACCAGCTTTGTGTCAGCAATGAGTGACCTTAAAGTAACCGAATTCACTCATTACGAGGACTGTGTGGAAACTCATGCATGTATAGTGTACATACTCATTCACACTTTACCCCGTTTTGACCCATCTACATCTTAAGTGGTCATTCATGACTTCCTGTTTCACTGTGTAAATTTGAACTGATGTGCAGGTCAAACACCTTTAATCATCCATCAGAATGGAGAGGATCAGAGAGTATGCAAATGAAGTGACACAAACGGATGTTAATATTCATAAACCAAACCAACGACTTTTAGAAAAATGGCTTCAGACCATCTGCAAAAACTAAACAACGACGATAAACTGTTTGAAGGACTTGTGAGTTGAGAGCCTCGGCTGTTGTCCAACCACAACTGTAACTGCATGGAGCTCACTAAACATCAGTAGAACCTTGTTATGATGTTCTATGGTCAGATGAGATAAAAAGGAGCTGTTGTGGGTCCACGCAGTAAAAAACTCATCAATTCAACCTAAAAATTTACTTCACGTAGTAACAAGTCAATTCACTTGTTTTAAACCTAAATAAATACAGGGTGTCCCAAAAAATTTCGTAAGCTAATAACGTAGCCGATTCTCCCTCAAATTATCTAAAATTTGAACAAAATGTGTAAAAACTAATCAAGTTTAATTTTTTATGTTTTTTCAGGTTGAATGGTGTTCACTAGAAATGAAAAGGCATTTTGTGTGTTAGAATCTGCTCAAACACAGTCAAACAGGAGTGAGAAGCGGGCATTTCAATAAAAATGCACCAACTGGAAAGCAGAATTTGGACTTGGCACAAACACAGCGTGTTCGGCAGGAGCTGGACTACCGACTGGACGTGTGTCGCGTCACAGGCGGTGCGCATATTGAACACTTGTGAAGCTGTGAAATGGGGGACACCCTGAATATTGAACGATTCCTTCAATCAATGTAGTTTTTAAGTTGAATAAAGCTGGTTCAGTTGCTTGTTACTACATGGAGTCATTCTTTTAGGTTGAATTGATGAGCTATTTTTTAGTGTTTATTTGGCGCTGGGAATCTTGTTACCCTGCATATCTTTCCAAGTAAAAGCATCTTTAAATCTAGTTAGCATGTCTAACATCATACTTTTTAGTGATTTATAAGAATCTTATAAGATTATTTATTTACCTTGTTTCTAGACATTTGCCTGTAACAAGCAGACTCATCTGCAGATGGAATGAGACAGTTTCACTACATAAAAATTGTTTAAAACATGTACAAATGTCTAGAAATGGGTTGAATAATCTTGATCTTATATTTTTCTTACAAGAGGTTCATAATGTGAAATAGTAGATATTTTGGTATTTTGATAATTTGATTAGATTTAGTCAATGCATCTAATACTCATGGGCTGGAGGTTAGGGAACCAGCCTTGAGACCGGAAGGTCGCTGATTCTATCCCCTGAGCCAACAGTACATGACCTAACCCACAGCTGCTCCGTGGGCGCTGTGGGTTGGTGCTGCCCACCACCCTGGGCAAGTGTGCTCACTGGCCCCTAGTGTGTGTGTTCACCAGTGTGCATGTATGTGGGTGTTTCACTGCACGGATGGTTGAATGCAGAGGACTAATTCCTCTGTGTGCAAAACACAGTTGGTCAATGCTTCTAATTCTAATATTTCAATGATTTTTCAATCTTCATAGGATCATTTAGTGTAGGAAACAGCGTTCTTATAGTTATGAATTTTTAATTCATAGACAAAGCACTTTTTGTAGGATAGACAAAGCACTTTTTGTAAGTCGCTCTGGATAAGAGCGTCTGCTAAATGATGTAAATGTAAATGTAAATGTAATTCGTCTTTTTATTATTTTTATTTAGTTTTTCGTTTTGTTTTTACTTCAGTTTAGTTTCAGTCCGTTTTAAAGGTGCATAGTTTTCATTTGTTCTCAGTTTCCTCCCACAGTCCAAAGACATGCAGTCAGGCCAATTGGACATGGTAAAATTGCCCCTGTGTGTGTGTGAATGTGTATGTCTGTCTGCCCTGTGATGGACTGGCGACCTGTCCACGGTGTATCCTGCCTTCCACCCGATGACAGCTGGGATAGGCTCCAGCGACCCAGAAGGAGAAGTGGCTTAGAAGGTGTGTGGTGTGTGTGTGTGTGTGTGTGTATTTTATTCAACTATAATAACCCTGGTAGGAAACATGTCATCATGGACTCCATCAAACACCAGGAGATTTCACAAGATGATTTGGCTCCCTCTGCCGGACAGAAAGGGTATCTTCACCACAGTGGCCATCCCAAACTGACCCAAACGTTGATTTTTAAACCTGTTTCTGCTCCATGAGTGAGCACTAAAGACCCTGAATGGTCTGGAGGGATTCTGTATAGAAGGCTGACCGGTCTCAGGTCACTCTGTATGTGTTAGAGCAATACAGGGGGCAGTGATTTCTTTAGATGGTGAAACACCAACCTCACCTCATACTGTATATATAGTGAGACGTTACACCACCACTTCAAACTCTTCTGTACAGATGCTCTCTGCTTATGTCAGTGTCTTCTTAAAGTAAACATTTCAAAGCAACTCAGAAATCTCTTACTTTATTAAACTATCTAAAAGTTAACGCAGGTCGTCACTTTTACTGAATATATAGAGTTATTTTTCCCCCCCAAAACGACCCCCTGCTTGTCCTCTGTCTTGCTCTTTCTTCTGAAACCTTTCAATTTTATCACATTTTCACTACAAACAGAGGAAAAGGGTACCAGGATGAAAGAAAGCAGCTTTTTATTCATTCATTCAGGAACTTGTGATCGTCTCATCGCGAGATTTGGAGATCGACAGTGGCGGCGTCCCAGGGGAGATCTCGCGATATTTCCCCGCTTGACTAAACGCCACGTCGGTTTTCAGAGAGGAGCAGAGCATCAGCTGTGCGGCGGTTTCTGACGGTTTTTAGGAAATCTTTCAGACGAGTAGCCTTACGGAGCCGAGCGCGGTCAGCAGACAGGTGAGTACATACGAGCTCAACGCCTAAACGGAGGGTTATTTGCTTCTTTTTGTCCAGCAGCGACCTGTAGTTAGATAACCTAGCGGGCTACCATTAGCCTTGTAGCCTGGTAGGTTAGCTCCTTCGCTTCTATCACAGTTCTGATTTAAGTTCTGCACACTGGCTTTGGCATCGTGCACAAATCATTTTCAATGCACAATGCAGGCAACAACATAACATAACCTCCACTTTCTTCCTTCCAGCCATTGTAGCCACAGATAGGCTGCACCGTTTGAATGAATCCAACAGAAAACTAGGGTTTCAGGTTCTAGATAGGCTGTGACTGACCTTAACTGGCCTGAATTTGCACATTGAGTACTGTTTAAACCTGGCTATGCTCTAGGTGTAATACATTTAGTGACATAAGGTTAGAATCAGGGCACCCAGGCTGAGATTTCTCCTCCTAAACATGAGTAACAAGGCCTGTACATTTATTTATAAAGTGAGTGTATTGAATTATATATGCAATGTGTTGTTCCGTCACTCTTATGTCCTTTTATAATGATAAACCTGCAGCATATGAGTTTGAAAAAGCCAAGAGTCACTGATGGAGCCAAGGAAAAACTGCCCTCAAAGCCTTTCTTTGTGTGGCTTTTATTATAAAATAAAATATTTTTGATGTGTTGATAAAATAAGGCAGTTGTGTCCTTCATCAGGGATTTTTTGTAGCTTGCCTGAAGCTCCAGTCTAGGTTCTGCTGCTGGGTGCCGGTTTACAGCGACAGACCTCACCCACTTAAACGTGGCACTGTTTGCCTGGCTCCAGGGCACCGTTTCCTGCTCCAGCATTGTGAGGTGAATGCTTTGTTTTCATTCCTGTCCAGGTGAGATGAGGGTCCTTCCCCTGTCTGTGCTGCTGCTGGTGTTTGGGTTAGCGGTGTTAGCATCCCAGCTAACCGATGCTCACTCCCACTCCCATGACCACGGTCATGCCCACTCGCACGGCCATCACGGACACCACCATGGGCATTCTCATGGTGAGGGTGGTTGCCATGGGCACCATCATGGGCATTCTCATGGTGATGGTGGTTGCCATGGACACTCCCATGGTGGTGTGAAGATGCACCACGGTGCCAGCAAGTGGAGTGAGCAAGCAAACCTGCAGCATACAGAAGAGGAGCAGCTTCAGCATGACCACGGACATGACCATGACCACGGGCACGGACAAGACCATGACCACGAGCACGGACAAGAACATGAACATGACCATGACCACGAGCACGGACAAGAACATGACCGTGACCATGACTACGGGCACGGACATGAACATGACCATGACCATGGTCATTCACACGATCACGGTCATTCACACGACCACAGTCATTCACACGACCATGGACATTCACACGAGCATGGTCATTCACACGACCATGGGCACACCCACAGCCATGGTACCAGTGGAGAGAGGGTGAAGAGAGAGGCGGAGGGCGAGAGACGGAACACAGTGGAGCTGTGGATGCAGGTGAAAAACAATGACACACAATAATAGCGATACGTCATCAGCCTCAGTTGACAGCTGCCTGAAGTTATGATATCACAATCTAATAATCTGACGCGATTATGCTGGCCTTTGCATTTATTCTATTCAATATGAGATAACCAACATTATATATGACCACATATATAGCATGCTTACTAACACAGTTGAGTAATAAGCTCCTGTTTGGCTATATTGCTGTTGATAATTTTCGTGATACGCATCACAATATTTTGACACAGACACAGTGCATCAATAGTGCCACATTTTAAAAATGCCTTCAAAAACTCCGGCTACCATGCATTTAAATCAACATTTCACACACTGCACTGCACTACATACAGTTAAACAGGACTAAATTATGCTTTCTTTAATGAAACATGTAGTTGTTCTGTGTTTTTTAAGTACCAGCAACATCCACAGTATGACCAGAGAACCATATTTGTTGTTCATCACGATAACAATAACATATCGTCATATTGCCAACCTCCAAGTGCCACCAAGGCCTTGTTTATCAACCAGAACACATTATCAGCTTGATATGACCTGGAACACCAGCCTCAAGAGTTTGCTAGTCCCCAAGCTTATCCAGCAGTAGTGAGCTTGGGCACTCTGTTATCACAGTCCCACCAAAACCAACCCTGACAGGCTTGAAATCAAGGCTGGTTTGTGCTAGATATTTTAGCAAGGTACACTGAGTAACAGAATATGGGCATTAGTCCAAAATACTGAGCGCATTCACACACATTCAACCCCCAAACACACACACACACACACTGGAATTTAGAGATGATGTTGGATTAACACTTAACACATCATTGGTGTTGGTGGGAGCTCTACTGACAGTCTGCTTCGGTTATTAGGATTGGCACCTGCAGTGAAACCAGTATCACTTCCCATTGTGAACTGGTTTTTACCAGTTCAGCTGATGCCAGTTGATTCCACTTGAATCCTATAGTTATCACCAGAAATCACTTCTCTCTTAAAAAAGATGGTTCTTCAAGGGTTCTTTAGCAAAGAAAATGATTCTAAATAGATCCATGAACACTCAAAGAACCCTTTGCATCATGAAAGGGTTCTTTGCATCATGAAAGGGTTCCTAAGAATGTGCTGTGGATGGTTCTATATAGAACATTTTTGAAAAGGATTCTGTATAGCACTCAAGAAGGGTTCTTCTGTTGTTGCAATCTCAATCTTGAAACAATAGAACCCTTGTAGGTGCCAAAAAAAGAAGGAAAAGAATGCTGTCATGATGCTAAGAACCCTTTAATCATGCAAAGGGTTCTTTCAGATTTCATGGTTCTGTATAGGACTATTTTCTTTGCTAAAGAACCCTTGAAGAACCATCTTTTTTTTACCGTGTAGCTCCGCTGCAACTCATAGTTTCTTTGAACCAGTAAAAAGCACTAGGGCTCCACTGGTGGTTGAAATTGACTAATCTTGTTCAGTTTTGAAGATCAAGTTGAATCTTGTAATAATCATTAGCAATTATTAGCGGCCAGTTAATTCCAGTACAGCTGCTGGACTGGACATTCCCTTAGGAAGAATTTACACATTAGTTTCATAGTATTTGCAGTAGTTGCTTCACATTACAGTTAACGGTCAATGAGTTTTTACTTTAGCACATACAAAACCACAAAACGGACACAGTAGATCATTTCTGTAAGATATTTGTCCTGCATTCTGTTTAGTCTCAGTCAGAAGAAGAGAGTTACTGCAGGACTACGTCATGATTCTGAGCTGGTCATTGAGGCTCTGGTCAAGTGAGCTTTTAGGTCGGCAGCTGAGACAGAACAACTAAACACACTGGAATTAGCCAGATACAAACAGTATACAATTCAGCAAACAAGATCTGCTGTGAGATGCTTTACAGAGTAACTGGAACAAAACCACATTCAGATTAATCTGGGAAATACTGAAAAAATGTGAGCTGAACCTGATATTTCCACCATTTTATGGCTTCCTCTGTGAACAAAAAGGTACTTTTCTGGAGAAAGGAGTTCCCAGGAAAGCAGCTTAACACAGGTGTTGTTTTTGAAAACAGCGTCACGGCTGTGATGATCTACTGTAATCCCCATCATCTTGTGCCTGCAACCGAATCAAAGCTGTGATGTTATTTGCGATAACATACTTCCTGTGTTGTATTACTTTAGTTAATGAATAAATCATATTAGTTACTGAATAATTTAGAGTAATTAGTAATATTTATTGAATAATTGATTGTAGTTACTTTCATTGTAGTTACTGATTAATGTATAGTAGTTACTGAATAATTTGAAGCAGTCACTGAAAAATTCATAATAGTTACTGAATAATTTGTAACAGTTACTGAATTATTCATGTTACTGAATAATTCTTAGTAGTTACTGAATAATTTGTAGTAGTTACTGAATAATTCATAACAGTTACTGAATTATTCATGTTACTGAATAATTCTTAGTAGTTACTGAATAATTTGTAGTAGTTACTGAATAATCCGTAGTAGTTACTGAATAATTCATAACAGTTACTGAATTATTCATGTTACTGAATAATTTGTAGTAGTTATTGAATAATCCGTAGTAGTTACTGAATAATTCATAACAGTTGCTGAATTATTCATAACAGTTACTGAATTATTCATGTTACTGAATAATTCGTAGTAGTTACTGAATAATTCATAGTAGTTACTGAATAATTTGTAGTAGTTACTGAATAATTCATAACAGTTACTGAATAGTTTGTAACAGTTACTGAATAATTCAGAACAGTTACTGAATTATTCATGTTACTGAATAATTCGTAGTAGTTACTGAATAATTCATAGTAGTTACTGAATAATTTGTAGTAGTTACTGAATAATTCATAGTAGTTACTGAATAATTTGTAGTAGTTACTGAATAATTCATAACAGTTACTGAATAGTTTGTAACAGTTACTGAATAATTCAGAACAGTTACTGAATTATTCATGTTACTGAATAATTCGTAGTAGTTACTGAATAATTCATAGTAGTTACTTAATGGTCTATAGTAGGTGCTAGTAAACTTAATGAGCATGAATGATTATCCAGCTGATTTTTAATGTGAATTCATAACACCTGTACTGCATTTTTGGTGTGGATAGAAATTAGAATGCTTTTCTTACCAAATCTGATGAAGCTGTTTTATTAAAGTGTAATCTGTCCAGAAGACCCTTATCAGCGAAAACGGACATGCAGATTTTAATAACTGGCTCAGGAGTCTCTTATTGGTGCATCACTTGTGTGAATTGGTGGGGAAATATATTTTGTGTACATTTACTGGCTTTGTGTACGTATGTATTTACAAACAGCTGGAGTATATTTATCTAACATCTGTATAACATGGTACACTTATCACATTCACTCACTCAGTTCTCTTTGTTTGAAAGATGGGATGTTGCTTCCCTCGTTTACATTGTAAGCTTCGTCAGCGTTTCCTGTTATTTGAACGTTTTATATCTCAGTACTGCTAATGTGCTTGAAGCTCACTAACAGAAACACATTGTCCCTTAGAAAGCTGAGCTGAGCTGTGTTTTTCATTACGCTGGCTTAATCGAGACCATGCAGAATTTGTTTCAGTAGAAAGACGTGGTCCCTCTGTTCCATTAGTTTCGGGTTTTAGTGGTTAGATTTTTCAGTTTGTTATGAAGTGGAGGCTGAAGTTCACTCCAGTTTCACAATATATTCCCTTTCCCAGTTGGATGATTTGGCAAAAACTTGGCCAGCAAACAATGTCAAGTACAAGCATTATTATTATTAATTTATTAAAACACAAACACCAGATATATCTTTTTATTCATGTTATATAAAATGGGCTTCAGTTTTTAGCAACAGATTTTCCGCATCGCTCCTGAAAAAGGTGCAGAAACGAAGAAAAAAACAGATTGTACATGGTAGTCCAAGATAGAGCTTTTCTGTATTTCTCCTCTAATGATAAAGCAAACATAAGAAGCTTCTATGCAATCGATAACATCATATAACATTTGATATAACAGATCAGTTGTCAGCTGTGCTTCATACAGAGATCTAAACAAAAACATCAGTCGTCATGTGTTTATGTTGCCATTTTCAAATATGTTTTATCAGTCCGCAGTCCGATCCTGTAAATAGAGTTTTTTTAAAAAAAATCTAGTTATATTTTTTATCCTATGTTTTTATTTTTTATATTATATAATATTATACATTATATAATATTTATACATATTAGAGGTGCGGGAAAAACTCAGTTCTTAGATGCATCGCGATGCGGACATGAACGATTTTGAATCGATTCACAAATGTCAAAAACACGACTGGATGAGTGAGAAATCCGACCGGCTCCCTCTGCATTAAAGCCATATATATATATGTATGTGTGTGTGTGTGTGTGTGTGTGTGTGTGCGTGTGTGTGTTCGTTCACACAGCCCTGAAAACATCAGATCTGAGTCACTTTAGGGCAAAAAAAAAGATTTTTGTCACTTCAGCCTGGTACACTAAATGTGCTCAATAACTTAATGTGGATCTTTGATATTTAAATTTTCTGTGATATTTATTCTTTGTGGTCACAGAATTTTTTATCTTTAATGGTTCTGTTGTAACTGATTCTAGGCAGTCGGAGCCACTCTGCTGATCAGCGCTGCACCCTTCCTCATCCTCTTCCTCATCCCTGTCCAGTCAAACACGGATCAGCACCAGAACCTGCTGAAGGTTCTGCTCAGCTTCGCCTCTGGGGGTCTGCTGGGAGATGCCTTTCTGCACCTTATTCCACATGCTCTGGGTTAGTACACACACACACACACACAGACACACATTGTGTACCTCTGACAGTGTGTGTGTGCGTTGAAGTAACGCTGTGTTCCACGTCAAGTGGAAATGGTTTAGTATTTTCCGATATTTGAATATTGAAATTGTTAAATGAAGGCTACTCAATGACTTCAACCAGAAAATAATATTTTTATGTTGTTATTAGCGCTGTCACAATCATAGAACTTTAGCTGACGATTAATTGTTATATAAATAACTGGGATTAATGATTTATTTCTCTGGTTTATTCATGTTGTGTAATGTAAAGCAGCTAAATTGGCCCATTAGCTTGCTTGCTTCGTAGCCCTTCTGTTTGCAGCTAATAAGAGAAGATACATTGCACTATAGTGTGTGTAACAGAGCGCTACAATTACACAGAGACAACCAGAGATTACATCTTTCTCCTGAGACTATAAAAAGGTCTTGCTATTTTTTTTAAACCTGCCTGACATTCTGTATAGCCTTTGTACAAACACACTAGGACAAAAAAATGCAAAAATCAGCTGCCTCTTCATATTATTTGTATAATTAAACAGCTACACCAAAGAAGCAACCACCTGTTTAGCACAATGATGTAGCAGCAGCTAAGTGCACTTACCTGCGTCGCCATATTTACATCATTAAATGAAAATAATACATTTGTGCAATCGTACATCCCTCATTATGAATTAAAAAACGAAAAAGTGAATTTTGGTAGGACTGTAGTTTAATATATATCAACTGTGTGGCCAAAAGGACAACTGACTTATACATTCAAATAGATTAACTTAATGTTGCACCATTCTATTCTTTTTTTTTATTTAAAGTATTTCTGTGTACGACTTTGCTTAGATTTAGCCGTTTGGCTGAATGTGAGACACAATATCAACTACTTGTGTCTCCACGTTCTAATCAATTCTGTGTCACAATGCCAAGCGTTGGATGGAGTGGTGTAAAGCGCCGCCACTGGACTCTGGAGCAGTGGAAACATATTCTGTGGAGTGATGAATCAGCTTCTCTATCTGTCAGTCTGATGGACGAGTCTGGGTTTGGCGAATGCCAGGAGAACGTTATCTGCCTGACTGCACTGTGCCAGCTGTAGAGTTTGGTGGAGGAGGGATGATGATATGGGGCTGTTTTTCAGGGGTTGGTCTAGAACCCTTAGTTCCAGTGAAGGGAAATCTTAATGCTTCAGCAGAACAAGACATTTTGGACAATTCTACACTTCCAACTTTGTGGAACAGTTTGGGGAAGAACCTTTTCTGTTCCAGCATGACTGAGCCCCAGTGACCAAAGCAAGGTCCATATCACTACTTGTGTCTCAGTTCTGTGTGACATGGCATGTGTCATTTAACTTTATAAGATAGTAAAGATTATTTAATATTATTTAAAAGGTAATTAATTATTACTTCTTTTTTTATTTCAAGTTATTTCAGATACACTCTGACCACATTTGTTTTAACAAGCTTACTTGTCCCCTACAGCAGTGCTGCATTTCCATACGTTTACATTAGCAGGTGACAGGCGTCCACTCATTTCCAGTGGAAGTAGGTGATTTTGTACTTGTGTTTTAGCGACACGGCAGCAGAAGGGTCAAGCGGCAAGATGAAAAATTTTCTTAACTTTCTGCAAATTGACTATGATGTGGTGAATCAACAATCTAAATGACATCTGTAAAAGCTCTTTTGTTAAAGTTTCAGCAGCTCAGTTCGTTTTCACTCTTTCCTCCTTTACAGAACCCCACTCCCACCATGGAGACGAGGGCCATGGCCACTCCCATGCCAGCAAAGAGTCCCATGGTCACTCTCACGGTACGTGATTGGCTATGTGAAGAACAGGAGGAGGATGGTGGTTGTGCTGATCTCACTCTAGGCATGGACAGATGACTGGTTGCAGAACCAGGATGTTTTTTTTGTAAGTGTTTATGTACTTCTTTGTGTTTTCGTTGACACAGCGATTTGTTCCCTCTCCAGGTGCAGCTCATGATCACATGATGTCTGTAGGTCTGTGGGTGCTTGGAGGTATCGTGGCATTCCTGGTGGTCGAGAAGTTTGTTCGTCTGCTGAAGGGGGGGCACTCTCATTCACACTCTCACGGTAGGAACCTTGTTAGTCCATTGCCCCTCCACACTGCTGGGGTTGGGCAGTATAACTATAATAAGGTATAATGCGCTATTTCAAAATGATGACAGTATTTTCAGCTGATCACTCTATTTCAACATTGTGACGTCAAATTTCTGTTGTATGTTTATCAATTAAAGAGCCAAATAAACACTTTGCACTATTCACATTTTAGTTGAGGGACGGAGTGCCTGAAAACAACCCTAGCCAGAGATGGAAACACATCCAACATGCTTTGTGTTAACAGAAAAAAAAGATAGGGATCATCCTGCAGCATGATAGAAAGGAAGACCATAGCATGTACAGTTTGCTTCATTGAGTATGTAGTGTATATATATTACAACAGGCAGATAAAATTAAGCTCATAGTCTTGCAGTCTCCATAGACAAACACTGGCAGTAGAGGGTCGTACTGATGAGCTCAGTGACTTTAAACATGGATCTGTCATAGGATGCCACCTCTGCCTCAAGTCAGTGTGTGAAATGTCTGTCCTGCTAGATCTGCCCCAGACAACTGTAAGTGCTATTATTGTGAAATGGAAGCACCAAGAAGCAACAACAGCTCAGCCACGAAGCTGTAGACCACTCAGATTCACAGAGTGGGGCCGAGTGCTAAAGCGCACAGTGCCTATCTTCTGTGGAAGCAAAGAGTTCTAAATTGCCCCTGGAAGCAGAATCAGCAAAAGACCTGTGCACTAGGAGCTTCATGAAATGGGTTTTCATGGCTGAGCAGCTGCACGCAAGCCTAAGATCACTAAGCGCAATGCCAAGCGTTGGCTTGAGTGGAGTAAAGCGCCGCCACTGGACTCTGGAGCAGTGGAAACGTGTTCTGTGGAGTGATCTGTCTCTATCTGTCAGTCTGATGGACGAGTCTGGGTTTGGCGAATGCCAGGAGAACGTTACCTGCCTGACTGCACTGTGCCAGCTGTAGAGTTTGGTGGAGGAGGGATGATGATATGGGGCTGTTTTTCAGGGGTTGGTCTAGAACCCTTAGTTCCACTGAAGGGAAATCTTAATGCTCAGCAGAACCAAGACATTTTGGACAATTGTACACTTCCAACTTTGTGTGAACAGTTTGGGGAAGAACCTTTCCTGTTCCAGCATGACTGAGCCCCAGTGACCAAAGCAGCTCCATAAAGGCTGACTGGGTGAGTTTGGTGTGGAAGAACCTGACTGGCCCTCACAGAACCCTGACCTCAACCCCATCCAACACCTTTGGGATGAACTAGAACGGAGATTGTGAGCCAGACCCTCTCGTCCAACATCAGTCCTCGCAAATGCTCTTCTGGATAAATGGTCAAAAATTCCCACAGACTCTCCAAAATTTTGTTGGACGGTTCCTACAAGAGTGGAAGCTGTTAGAGCTGCAAAGGGGGACCAACTCCATATTAATGCCTAAGGATTTAGAATGGGATGTCATGATAGCTCCTGTAGGTGATGTGTAGGTGTCCCAAAACCTTTGTCCATATAGTGTACTTTGGATGTCTGTGACAATGAATGGCAGTTTACCTTGCTTTGCATTGAGAATTTATTTAAATTTTATGTTCCCAGCTGCCCCAAAAGCAAAAGACAGTGATGGAGAAGAGAAAAAGGACGATGTGAAAAAAGGAGAGAAAGAAAAAAAAGATAAGAAGGTGAAGAAAGCAAAGGCGGAGAGTTCAGGTAAGAGGTTAAAAACAAGTAATGCAAGCTTACTCCCCACCAGTTAGCATAGAGCCATCGCAGTGATATGATCTCAGATGATTTGCCGAACTGTTGAAGGAATATCTCTCTTGTTCCTTCTTTTTAGATATCAAAGTGTCTGGCTACTTGAATCTGGCGGCTGATTTCACTCACAACTTCACGGATGGTCTTGCTATCGGAGCCTCCTTCCTGGTTAGTCCAGCGGTCGGCGTGGTAACCACTATCACCATCCTCCTGCATGAGGTGCCGCACGAGATTGGAGACTTCGCCATTCTCGTCCAATCAGGATGCACCAAGAGGAAGGTGTGGTGCCTTACAGTGTGCCAGAACACAATTGTGCTCATGTTTGTGTATTGTCTCTTACCATTTGGTTGATTCAAATGGCAGGCCTGGCTTTGTCAGTCTGCAGAAGGTTTTGGTGTTAATCCTTAGAAATCACTGTTATCATCCCTGGCAATAACTAAAGATGATACCTAATTTATATCGATATTGGCAGATAATTGTGTTAAAGAAATATTAGCAGTATTAGACTGATGTTTAGATTTGACGGATGGACTCTGCAAGACCTCTGAAGGTGCACTGTGGTATCTGGCACCAAGATGTTCGCAGCAGATCCTTTAAGTCCTGTAAGTCGTGAAGTGGAGCCGTCGCAGATCAGACTTGTTCCAGCACATCTCACAGATGCTCAATCGGATTGAGATCTGGGGGAGTCTTGGGCGCCCGACACCCTGTCGCTGGTTCGTGGTTTGTCCTTCCTTGGACCACTGTCAGTAGGTACTCCACCTCTGCTGACCAGGAGCACCCTACTAGCCTTGCCGTTCCAGAGATTCTCTGACCCAGTCGTCTGGCCATAATGATCTGGTCCCTGTCAAAGTTGCTCAGGTCTTCATACTTGCCCATTTCTCCCACATCCAACACATCGCCTGTGAGAACCGACTTATGTTCTGTCAGTTTGTTGTTTCAAGATAAACTCGTTTTTCTTATTCTCTTCCTCTGTGTGATCCTCATCTTTTAGGCGATGTTTCTTCAGCTCCTCACTGCTATTGGTGCGTTAGCCGGGACGGCCTGCTCCCTTCTGGCAGAGGGAGTGGGCGCGGCCGCCACGGCCTGGATCCTCCCCTTCACGGCCGGCGGCTTTGTTTACATTGCCACAGTTACCGTCCTTCCAGAGCTGCTGGTTGGCCGCTCCAGTGTGGGCCAGTCATTGATGGAGATCATCGCTCTGCTGTTCGGAGTCGGCATGATGGTGCTGATCGCAGAGTACGAGTGAGGAAGGACGGAGGTTAAAGAACAGATAAACAGCAGGGGGACGAGAGAGAGCTGAAGACGGGGTGTTTGGCTGTTAGAATTTTTGAGACTCAGGGGATATAAAGTACAAAAGAGAATGATGTTTAAATGTTACCGTTGATGACTATTGATGCATGTGTGAGTAAGTGAGACGAGTGAAACTGGAGGCCTTTGAAAGAGAACTGCACTAAAATGTCCAAAGACCCTGCATTCATCTGCTCAACCAGCTCCCCCAGAGACCAGCATTGTGGGGCTTGTGGGTTGGAAGTTCAATCAAAATTCCTGAATATGTCCTAGAAATAGGAGTGAATTACTCTCAGCACACGCACACGTTTAAGGAGGTTATGCTTGAGCTTAATTGATTACTTTGCTAAAATATCATGTCATATCAAAATGTAGAATAAAGATGTGATTTTTTGTTTTTACGATGATTTATTTGACCTGTTCAGGACAGTAATGCTGCATTTACATGTTGGCGGCAAAGAGCCGGATATTCGATCATTTTCAGTGGAGGTACAGAAGTGAGCGAAACGTTCCATCAAAAGTTCCATTTTTACGATATTTGCCTTTGACTGCCGCAGTCAAATAAACCAGATATTGATTTTTTGGGAGCCTTGGATGCCAAATATCTTGTTGAATTACAAACAAACCCAATATTATACAACAAATAATAAGAATACAGAGCTTCCTTGCCTGCCTTTTTCCACCTTAAATAACAATCCACACTGCTAAAGCTAAAGCTCTCCTCTGATGGCCTTGCACTGCCATTGGTCACATCGGTTCTCTCAACGCCAACATGTGAATTCAGCATAACCTATTTCTGGTAAATTATTTGGTTCACACTACTTCATAGAAAGTGAAATGTCTTGCTTAGTCTCTCTGAAAAGCTCCTTCTCTTTGGTTGAGTGAAAAAGCTGATGACACTTAAAAAATGGTTCTTCGAGGGTTCTTTAATAAACAAAATGGTTTCATATATAACCATGAACACTCAAAGGACCATTTGCATGCTTAAAGGCTTGCTTGCATGGTGAAAGCATTCTTCAGATTGATGGGAGAATGTGTTATATATGGTTCTGTGTAGAACCTTTTTGAACATTGTAACAATAGAAGAAATAGAATGCTTTTGGGTGCTATATAGAACCCTTTTCAAAAAGGTTATGTATAGAACCATCTGTAGCACATTCATGCACATTTTCCATTGATCTGAAGAACCATTTCATGATTCAGAGAACTCTTAATCATGCAAATGGTTCTTTGAGTGTTCATGGATGTATATGGAACTGTTTTCTTTGCTGAAGAACCCTTGAATCTTTTTTTTAACTTCTGCTTTAAGCTTAATCAAAGGCCTTAATGTTTCAGCCTCCAGGCTCGAGAGGCTGAACACTCCACTGATGTCTGAAAACAGGCAGGTTCATGCAAACTTTTAGCTGTTAAGATTCCATGACTGACACTGCTGACCACATCACGCTCTCCCTTTAACTTCTGATCAGTGGAATTCCAATCATTTTTGACATTTTCTACATAATTTAATCAATTTAATGTAAACACAGTGATTTAGAGTGTTTTGGTGCAAAACAGCTGATTGTAGAGACTCTTTAAGCTCAGTTTTCTTTACAGTGGTGGTGATAGGAACCAGGGGTCGCCATGACTACAACACAAATATAGACATTTTTTTACTATCCAGAACCACCAGTGAGCCTACACGAGTCATCTGAGTTTATATGGAATGTTGATGATGGGAAAATTAGTTGTTTTCGATCTCTCTGTCCATTAATGTATTAAAAATAGTACATTTTAGGCAAAATCTTTCTGTGAGGGAGCTTTTAGAGGTGGACGTCTGGTTCCTATCACCACCACTGTGAACAGTTCTGACTGGTAGGTTTATTTAGAACAGAGTGTTTCACACCAAACCACTCTGAACCACTCTGAACCGCTCTGATTACGTTTTGACCATTTAATTACGCAGAGACTGTAAAAATCAGCCATTTAAGTACTTTGCCTGACAGTTACTGACCTAAATCTGTTGTCATGTCTTAAGTGTTTTTTCTATTTTGTTTAGTAATATTTGTGTGTAAGTTCAGTCATAGTTTGTCACAAATGTCTCCTCCTTCATCAGACTCCATTTCATAGTCTTTCTTGTAACAGTAAGTGAATGTAGTTCAGCATTGTGCACTAACTGGACCAAGGAGTCGATTGTGTTGGTGTTATCATGCCAGATTTCAGAGTCTGAAGTTGTACCTTTTTGACCAAAAGTACTACTGGGGTTTTTGGTGGTAGATCCGTGCCCATCCAGAGCTGTGTTTATGAGTAAAATGGTGGAAATGTGGTTGTTATATTATACATTTCCATATTTTCAAGTTGTTGTTTTGCTTTGAGCCACTAGAGTGCAGTGTGAACCTACTCCAAACCTGTATTCCACAAAGAAGGATTTCTCAGCAAACTGAACAAACCTAAACCAAAAATAAGGATTGCAATCAAAAGATTGTCATGCCCTGATTGTCAAGCAGAATGGAGAAGAACATTTGGCTTGAGTGAACCTGCTTACTGACAAATCCTTTGCTTTGTGAAAAACCCTCCAAACACCGACTACGTTTAGCCTGAAAATTACACTTTGGGTAAATTTAACTGCAAAACGCTTGGCCATGTTCCGTGTTGGAGGAGCTGGGTCTGTATACATGAAGCTGCTCAGAGTGAGAGCGCTGATCTTGGATAAGATTCTCTCTTATTTACTCTGACTTTACTGACGAGCAGATCCTGGATCAGCACTCCTGCTCTGATAAGCCTCATGAATACAGGCTCTGATCTTGAATACCAAACTGGAATCTACCAGAGGGACCAAAACGAGGGAGATGGGGAGGAATGACTTAAAAAAAGACTCTGAAAAGAATTTTAGTGACTAAACTTTCATTAAAAAAGGAAGCAATTCATGCATCGTTGTAAGGCTTATCTAATTTTGTTGCTCAAGTTATGTTTACTGTCTTCATACCTGAATAAAATGAGTGGAGTCCTCAGCAAGTTGTACTGACTTTTATTATGAGCATGCAGTGTTTGGCGGTTTTCTTTTTTAAAATAATGATTTTTATGAAAATCCCTATGAAGATCCTGTAAAATCCATGTAATTTTTCCCAAATTCGACTTCATTTGAAGACTTAATTTTCTCAGATTGATTTTTGTCTTATTTGTAAAAATGTGGGTGTAAAAACTACAGTAGAGAAATGCCAGATGCCGTGCACTCCTTCATGTACGCTGAAGTGTGACAGTAAATAAATGAGTTAGAGAGCAAAAATATGAACATATCCTGATGGTTTCACCTTCTCAGTTCAACACTGGACACTCTTAAAACAGTGTTTTGTTTAGTTCTTCTCTACATATTAAATAATACTTTTTTTGTTTATTGAAAACATTCGTTGTCCAGCATACTGGACATTTGTACTAAAAAAATGTGAAATGTGAAAGAAAAAATGTACATATTACGACCAACGTAAAACACAAACTAGACACTGAACTTTTTCTGTTTACTCTATGTACAGTTGTATGACTAAGTTATTGAATTTTTGTAACTGCTTGACTTTTACATGAACCTAAAATAAAGTTCATAAAATATTAACTCATTTTTTCATAATAATTTTTAGATTATAATAAAGAGTCGAAAGTCAACACCGGATAGCAAACAGCGTTAGTATAAACTATTAAAATATAAAAGCGGGAAAAACAGGTGAAACAATGATTAATTCGATTTGTTTGAGTCGGCAGCAGAAAGGTCAATTCATGAGGGTGAGGTTTGCACAGCACTGTACAGCATGAAGCTCCATGGTGGTCAAACCGGTCCAGAAGGTTGGCGAGCAGTGGCACTCGATCAAGGCAGAAGAAGCAACAGCATCAGATGCACAGGATGGGCAGCTGTTCAACTCTGCAAAGAAAGGAAACACACAGAGAGTCAGTTCTGTACAGAGAGACTGACCACAGATTACAGTGTAACAGAGCAGCAGAGACTCTGGCAGGTCTAGTTATTACAGCCCTTTACTAAGAGGGAGAAACCAGAAAGGTAACAGAGTCATGAGGCTCCCTGAGATGTCGGCGCCCCTCCACTCCACCGTCAGCAAACCTGAGTGAGTGAGTGAGGCAGCAGGACGACGGAACCAACATTCCCAGTTTACCATAATACTCTGACCATGAACCCCAGATCTGCACCTTTTATCTAACAGGGAAAACTAATTACCAAGGCTCCACTAAACTAGTGGGTTTTTAGCCTATACTTACAGACTGAGGCTGTGTCTGAATCCCGATCATTAACAGGAAGATTATTCCAAAGCTGGGGGGCTTTGTATGAGAAGCTCCGCCCCCTAACGTAACTTTATTAATTCTGGGTACTAATAGTGAGCAGCACCTTGTGATCTAAGTAGGCGTGATGGTTCATAGTGAGAGAGAAGTTCACTCAGGTACTGAGGGGCGAGTCCGTTTAGAGCTTTATAGGTCAGTGAAAGAATTCTGTAATCAATGCGAAATTTAACAGGCAACCAGTGTAGGATCTAGAGTAGAAAAAAAGTATCCTCTAAGAAATTGGTCATAATATCTAACTCGGTAGGATCAGATGGACAGCTGACAGAAGCTGATAATTGAAGGTTTCTGATAAAGCCACCAGCTGTGGAGGAAGTTATTGTCCGCTTAACACAATAACATGATGATGAACACACATTACTACTAAAGTGAATTTTGTATGAGATTAAGTAATGGTCAGAGACTGCTGTGCTCTGGGGGAGAATGGCTAAGTTATCTATATCTACACCAAAGGTCAGTATTAAGTCTAGAGTGTGGCTGTAATAATGAGTGGCCCCTTTATATTTTGGGTGAAACCTACACAGTGTAAGATACATACAAATGCCTTACTTATTGCATCTTGAAGTTTGTCAAAGTGGATATTAAAATTTATTTGCAAACTTAACTTATTAAACTTGACAGAAACTCAGAGAATTCCTGTAAGAACCGAGAATTCGGCCCTGGCGGCCCGTAGACTAATTAGTGAAAAGGAATTTTTATTTGTTCCTTGATCACTTACATTAAGGATAAGAACTTCAAAAGAAGAGAATGTATAGCCTACTTTCTGGCTCACGCCTAAAGCTTTAGTATGGATGGTTGCTATACCTCCACCCCGGCCGGCTAAACGAGGGCTATGCGCATAGCTGTAGTTTGTGGGGGAGTGGGAGTGGGGGGCTTCGTTTAGACCAAAGTAGTCATCGGGTCTAATCCACATTTCTGTGAGACACAGAGCATCAAAGTCATGATCGGTAATAATTTTATTTACAACGACGGCTTTAGATGTGAGAGATCTTATGTTAAGCAGTCCTAGTTTTACATCAAAGGTGCTGTCACTGCAAACCTATGTGTGCAAATCATTTAAACCCTATTTTAAATTGAAAATAGTGAA